TATTCCCATCTAATAGCGGTAATGAGAACTCTTGGTTTCACTGTTCATTTTATAATTAGCCATTCACCAAAGAAGATTTCGATAGCTTCAGAGATTATTCAAGAATAGACACGATGAATCTTCCTGTACGAAAATTTACAGTAGTACTGGCATACAACTGATATTCATTCGATGCAGTTGTGTGATAGGTGCGAAAATGTTGGATGGGTCAATGAATTGAAACTATTCGACAGATTCTGGAATCGGTAATCTTATGGTGCTATAGGAATCTGCCACAACAAGAGTGAATAATGGAGAACGAAATGGGATTGAAACTGAGATATGCTTATTCGTTTCAGTGATTAATTGGCTTGTTTCATTGGAAGAGGCTTTGCAATTGTATGCAAACGATCAATGAAAACCATTGATAAGTAACCTTCACGACTGCTTTATTGCTGTACGGTACAGCAGTGAGAATATGGTACAAGAACGACATTTTGTTTGTTTAGTTCGGATACAAACTGACTGATGTTGGTCTCGAGCGATTGATAGACACTCAATTGTTCATTGCTCTGATTGATATGATTTCATTCAGTTCCATTGATTTCTCAATGTAATCTCACTTCGAAATAATCTGCAAAATCATCTTCTTGAATTCGATTAAGTCAAATATTAATTGGTGCAAGCAAAATCACGATTCGGTGCTACGATATGAAACGTTATCAATTTCCTATGATTCAAAAAAGGGAAGGAAATCGAATGCTGAAGGGATTGTCTGAAAAACTGAAAAGCAAGTGAATCATGTCGAAATGCTAGAAAAGTGATTAATGAGGTTATCGGGCACATACGTAACAACAACAGAGAGATCGTGAATGTTTACTTATTGGAAACGAGCTCCTTACAATTTAAAGAAATGTCAACATCGCTTTCGCAGTGCCCTGACAACAAATGAAACTTCTCAATTACCATTGTTATTTGGTCGTATAAGATGCACAATTTGCATTTCACTTGCGACAAGACTCTCTCAAGAAATACTGCTTCACTTGAACGAATTGAATTTTCTCA